CTTCGTGTGGACGGGGCCTCATTGACTCGAATGCAATCCCTCACACTAACCATGCTTGTAGTGACAGTGGAGAGGAAAAACTCCCTTTTAACAGGAAGAAACCTCCAGCAGAAACAGGCTCGGTGTGAGCCGCCATCTGCTGAGGCCGACTGGGGTTCAAGGAGACAGAAGCAGACATAGAAAAAGAAAAATAGAAGCACAGATAGAACCAACATAAGAAATGTTATTTAAAAAAAACGGATCTAAATCAGAACCAGCATGGCAGGCTGTTTTATGACCAATGATCAAAGAGAAAACTGCAATTAGTTACTAATTACTGGTGCCTTTAGGATATTTATTATAAATTAGTATTGTTCTATAGGTGGAGCAGTGGTTAGTGCGCATGACCTGTGTACAGAGGCCTTAACCCTCGATGCGGCCGACCTGGTTTCCAATCCGGCCTGTGGTCTTTTGCCATGTCTTTCCTCCCTCTCTCATTCCCTCTTTCCTGTCAGCCTACTGTCAGAAAAACGAGCCACTAGTCCCAAAAAAACTCAAAAAAAAAGAAGGTCCAAAGAGTTGTAAGTTGCAGACCAGTTATGGACCAACACCAAAAATAGGGTAGTAACAGTTGGGAGAGAAAAGATCCACAAATAAATTTTTTCCTATAGAAAAAGTGGTTTGATCTACGATATAAGATGCTAATGAGATAAAATCAAGTTTAAAGTTTTAAAGTCAAATGTAAACTGAAACGTGGTGAAGTGTAACTGGGTTTCCGTGGGTCATTATAAGTCATTCTTTTATTTTATTTGTATTATTAAGACCTTAATTGGCATTATATATATATATATATATATATATATATATATATATATTAAATGTGATTATAGTGGCATTTAAAATGCTTTACTTAAAAAAAAAAGTTTATAGAAACAATTTTGTCTGATATATAATATCAGATATAACATGTTCTATGTGTTTGCGCGGAACTCCTTCTGGTTGATCGTAAAGCCTGTTTGGAAAAGAAGCTTGAGGCGGAGAAAAAGCTAGAGAATTGAAAATGCAACGTTCAACAAAAGTGGAAAACGAGGAATTTGGGACCAAACTGCATTGATACTGTCTCACAGAATACTGACACCTGCTGGAAATTTAAAGACACTACAGGCAGCTTATTTGACAGACTGAACTGAATTGATTTGACGTATTATTATGTTTAAATTGAAAATATCTTTGATATTTTTAGATGCAGCCAATAAATAATGTAAACATATAGTTTACAAGTGAGAGTCATGAGTACTTGTTGATGGCATTAAAATTATTTCTAAGAGCATTAAGAACCATTAAATTAGAGTTAATCATTCCTGTATAAACCCTGTGTAAGGACTATGAATTAATTTGCGACCTCCTATCCCTGCTTCGTCTCTCTACATGCACGTTCGGGATTTATGACATTTATGAACCCATCAGGAGATTTATGTGTGCAAAAAAACAACCAAACAGTAGAGTGAAGGTGAGCTAACATTTCTCCTCCTGTCCCTCAGTGGCACGCCTTCTCTGTCCCTGAGCTGCAAAACTTCCTGGTCATCCTGGAGAAAGAGGAGGCGGAGCGCGTTCGAGCCGTGCAGCAGAAATACAGCGTTTACCGACAGAAGCTCCAGCAGGCGCTTCAAACACACGGTCCATGATGTCCCCAAGCCGGACCTCCAGGACACGCGCTGGGATCTCAGTCCAGGGAGCGGAGCCTGAGCTGAACTGAACTCCGGACTCTTCATGGACAAGCGCTCAGACAGAGAGATCCACGTACTCCCTCTCAGGTCGCATGCAGGCTCTCTTTCCCCACAGAGAACGGGATCACCCTGCCAAGGAAGATCTGAGGCTGCTCCCACTTCGGATCCCATCAATGACTGATGTGTTTTTGTTGTTTTTTTAAGTTTCCCATCTCTCCTGCTACAACTACTGCTGCTGCTACTGCAAGTGTTACTTATGCATGAGTCCATCAGCTCATAGGAATAAAACAGAAAGCATGGTTGCTTTTAGCCGCATCGAGCTGGAGCCGCAGGACAATCATACCGAAAACACGTCTGATGATGTCATCAGATCTCCTTTTTTTTTGTTATTGTCTTCCCAGATTAAAGCAGAAAAAAATGCAACAGATAACCGTACCCCCCGCAGCATGACGCTGCCACCAGCGTGCCCTCACTATGTTTATAAGTTCCATCCTGGCTCATACATGAAAAGATATTTTTTTGGTTGTTTTTTTTTCCACCACACATGTTTTTGTTTTTCTTTATTGCTGCCTAAATCCAAAACTAAGAATGCATGAGCCCCAACCCTGGTGCGACGCTAAGAGAGGCAGCTCAGAACCCTTTAAGTTGTGAAGAAACTTCTAGTTTTTGCTGTGTGGGGATGAATTTGAACGTAAGAGGACGTTTACAGCGACGCTTACACTGACAGTTTTTTACTGAGAGGATCTCGTTTAGATTGAAGGTGATGTATGTAAACAAATAACATCTCAATCAGCTTTTTTTGCACATGTTGATCCAGGCCAAACCTCTGAGGCTGGCATGCATTGTAAGATTCATAATAACGGCTTTGATTTGTTTGCAGTCCATATAAATTGTGTAGATACTGGGGGGAAAAAAGAAAAACGAAGAGTTATTGGCTGATATGAGTTCATTTTTTGCATCATTCCTACCTGCTGGTGTTTGTCTGCGGTCATCCTGGGTAGACAGGATTTATTCCACCGCTTCTCATTCTTATGTTCATTATAATCCGCTGATAAGTCTGGTCCGATGTCCACGAGGACACGCTTCTCTCTAAAGCCCACACCTGTGTGTCACCATCCTCACCTCCCCGAGCTGTTCCTGCTGGCAGTGCCTTTTGTGTCACGTCTTCTACCCATAGCGTGGGTTTCAGCACATGTACAGGTGCCTGATTGAGTTACATGTGCGGGTTCCTCTGCATGTGTGCAATTATGTCTCTGCAGTGGTGCTATACGTTCATTTTTATTAGGCTTTTTTTTCGGTTTGGTTTTGATCTTTTCCTGGTTTCAAAGATACTCCCACGTGGGAGTTTATGTGTATGTGTGTGTTTTATTTATTTCATTGTTAACCACCATCCCATGTGAAATTATGTAAACGTGTCGCTTTATTTTTGCAATTTATTTTACTTGTAAAACTCTGTATAAATATGTGACTAGACCTGTACAGAAATTTAAATGAAATAAAAGAGTAAGCTCTTTATTGAAATGCTGTTATGTGTTTGCCTACGCAGGGGTTTCTATTATTAAGGGTAAAAAAATCACACACAAACAAAATAAATCCCAGTTTAATGTAAGTATTTTTATTTTTTGTTGGCCAGGAGACAGTGAAGCATCACTAAATAGATCAATAAAGTGAACAGAGCGGTTTAGGAGCCAAAGTGTGTTGCTCTGAGCCACCAGCAGATGGCGAAATATCCCCTTAATTAGTAGCAGTAAAGACATTTGGTTTATTTTAATGCAGAAATTCCAGTGAAATTGCTAATTTAACACATGCAGAACATTATTTATATACTACTTTATATATATTATATATATTTATATTATATCTAATTTAGTGTTTATGTCTAAAGTAACTTATTTAATCATACACCTTCCACATGCTGCATTTCTGCTATTTTGCGGTTTTTTTTTTTTTTAAGGGGCTTAGTTAGAAAACAAAGAAAACAGTGCATCTTCATACCAGCTGATTTCACATTAAATCATCTAATTACTCAAACGCTATAAGCAGTGGAAGCTGTAGATGTTTAGATAGACGTTAAAGGTCATAGGTGCAACTTAATCAAATGTACCGGTATTCATTTTTAATCAAGAAAGTGTTCATTTTACTGGAAAATATATGGTCCATCTAACTCACATCTGCTAATCAGTGTTTCTGCATTCAGAACAATCAGACTGGTAAAGAAAAAAAAAAATCTACAGTTGGAATATCCTTTAAGCAAGTTAAATATTATTCAAAGAAAAAAAAAATCACCCAAACATGAAAAGCATGATAAACAATGTAGGTCATTTACAAAATGGTTTTTGTAAGGCCAAGGCTTATATCAAACGTAGTTGAATAACACAAATCACTCCAAAAATAAACAGAAAAAAAGTCATAAGCAGCAACAATAACTTGTCCAATTGGACTTTTGAGGAGGTGAATTTGTTCTTTTCTTTGTTTCCATGTATTCCAGTGAGAGCATGAATTAACATATAAACAGGTAACAGGTATATCTGAATTAGCTGGAGTTCTGCTTTACAAGCAGATCAAACATCCCGCTGCCTGCTGTTTGAGTTGCTTGTTTGTTTTGTGGCTGTTGTTACCGTTTTCTGACTAGGAGGATATTTGCTTTACACTGAGGCCAATTCTCCCTCCAAGTGTTACTTTGTTTTCACAATTCATGCCCTTTTATAAGGTGAACTCTGTTTACAATGTCCTTTCAGAATAAGGTGTTAAAGCAATAAACTCACAGGTGCCAGTGTCTGTCACAGGATTTATGACCAAATACAGCCAAACACCCTCCCCCACAAGGACCTATAGGTAGCTTTGCACCTGGCCTTCTGTTTTGCTGTAGCTGTAAATTCAGCAGGCAGGGTTAGATAGGGTTCACAGCCACACTTTTAATCCCTCACTATTTTTGAGGAAAGTGCAAAAAGCATATCAGTTTATAGGCATTGTCACACTTCTCTCTATACACATCACTGCCTAAGAATAATCAAAACGGTGTGCAAAGGTTGGCTGTTGGCCAGAGGGCTAGCTAAAACTGTGTCAGCATGTGTATTTATGGCAGCAGATATAGACAGGACCCTCCTCTCACCTCTGAGAAAGAGTTATGATTAGCTTTACCCTCTGTAGCCGCCATCTATCACTTTCTGAATTTAGCCTTCGGACCCCTTCTCGTGCTGGGCCGCTCTCACTCCGTCCGCCTCCAACTATTTGTGCCTCGGTATGGAACTTCATGACCTCTCAGGTTTCGGTCCACAGTTTTCCTCATAGGGTATTTGGATGACCATTAGCAAAGCGTCGCCTTAACAAGTCTGCAAAAACATGTGCTTTAAATATGAACCCACTTACAAGGCATTTATTCTTCACTCTTACACTGATAAATGAAAAACAGAACAACAAAGTTTTGCATATTTTGCATAACTTGGATATAGAAAAATGTTTGTTGATGTTTTTTCTTGTTAACCCTTTATAGAGCGAAAATACTTTGAAAATCCAGATTTCAAGCCATTAGTGTTATTGGAATCCAGGACAAGACCTTATTACCTTTGTAACATTCAAAATATGGATATTTTGATGGAAATAATTTACCCTCTCAGGCTCGAATTAAGTTGTAGTTGCAGGAAAAATGTGATATTTGGAGAAAATTATCATATGGGGTAGTTATATACAATTCAGACTTTTTTTAAAAGAGACCTTCACATGCAATTCATTCTGGGAAGTTGCAGATTTGCAACAGTGGCCTGGAGTGATAAATTAACACTGAAGACTGAATCTGATATGAACGTTAACTTTATTTGAATGTCACAAACAAAAAATTCTCTTACAAAATTAGAGAAAACGTTTTCTCAAACAGTTTCTGTGTTAAACTGTTGCTCAAAATATAGGCAAACTAGTAGATAAAGCATGTAGCATCCATTGGTACCTGTTTGGGCACACGTTGCGAATCTACAACATTGAAATCGAGATGCCTCTGGTGAAAAACCCAGAGGAGATAAAATCTACTAATTGGCATGTGTCATATTTATACACATTCATGATTCATCTTATGTAGTATAGATTTCAAAATAATGGAAATTGGTAGTGATACTTACATGAAATTGGTGCTTAGAAAATCTGTTTCAGTGACACCAAGGACTCAGCCATGTTGAAAGTGAGTCAGCAGTGCTATCTGGTGAGCTGGAGAGAAACTGTTTGTTGCAAATGCACAACTAAGTCCTTCAGTTGTACTTCTGAGTAGCAAAAGCTCTTAAAGTATAGATGTGGAGTAATTAGCTAAGTGGCATTTAGCTGTTGCAAATCTGCAACATCTGCCTGGAGAGGGTTAATGTCAATGTAATAACAAGAAACGCATACTTGCCCGAATATATTAAGAAAAATAACAAAACTGCTTCTATAAGAAATTGAGTGAAAGAAACACATTTTTGTTTGGTCAAACAAAACCTTAGAGGCATTGATGCTGATACACATTTGACATTTATCAACTTTGTTCTTCTTTTTAATTTCCAGTAGGTAATATATCATTCAAGGGCTCATCTAATTGGTCAAATGCCCAAAGAAGATGTAGCAGTATCTCTGTTGAATGGCTGGATATAGATCTTGTGCTTCTAGACCTCACTGAGGGACTGGGGGGGGGGACTCCATTTGAAAGGGGTATGCAAGGCATCAAAAACGGTAACTTGCCCTTCAAAGAGTTAAATGTTATTTTGTGGAAAACGACTCGTGAAGATGGACCAGCTAGAAGAGCGAAGTTCGCGAGAACGCTGGGACCCTTTTTCCTCCTGGACCCCCGCTCTTTTTGGCCCTCATGTCCCTCCGTTGTCGGACAAACTTGCCCCCACTTCCTCACCGCCTCGGCCGTATCTAGACCCACAACTAGTTTATGACTGTCCCTCTGCGTTGTGGCGTGGAATAACATAGCGCAAACCACGCTTCGATATTTGGCATAAATCAGAAATATCTGCGACAAGCTCACTGCGACACACTGCTGCGGGAGGATAACCAGTCCTTAACGCTACATCGATGTTAAAAATAGCTACATTTCTTTTAGATTCTCGCTCCAATCATGTTTAATATACATTCATTTTAATTTTACGTATAAATGATATTTCAGTTTTACATATAAAACGGAAATATCAGTTACTTTTACAGAAAAAAAACTATTTACTTTTGTATTTGTCCACTTCATATGAATCTATGCTAATAACAGCCTTCTTTACGCTATATCTTTTTAATAATGCTTGTTGATTAGAAAATGTATGCTAAGTTTTAACTTGGAAGCTGTAAGTTGAAAAAACAACTTATAGTCATTAGCCAGCTGCAGAGTACACGCATATTTTCCTCGCAGGCTAACATGGAGCAGCACGCTGTGGGGTTCTGCTCCTCCACTGACTGGACAGGAAAACAAACAGGCGAACAGATGTTTGAGAAGGAACCATCACTTCTTTTTTTCTTATTTGAGCGTTTGTAGCGCCTATACTATATCTCTCCTTGGGTGGAGAGTCTTGCTTTAGAAAAACTAAACTGATTAATTCAACTCAGTTCAAAAATACTTTATTAATCCTAGTAGCTATTTTTTTAAACAGGTGTTGTAGGCAGGAAAGATCTTCTGTAGTGGTCTGTCGTGCACCAGCTTTGGAGAATCTCTTACTAAAGACGCTCTGTTGGGGTTTAAGAGTCTGATGAAGAGGATGATCACAGTTTTTCAATTATGTTCTTCACTTTGTGAAGAAATTTTTTTTAAATCGTCTCCAGAGGAGATCCTAGAACAGAGCTCGCCTTCTTTATCACCCTGTTGACCTTATTTTTTCTAGAAGAGATCACAACAGTTTCAGACAAGATAGATAGCATCTTACTGCAAACATTGAAGGACCTAAGCATCCTTAGAAAGTCCAGGCTGCTCTGCCCCTTCTTGTAGACGGCTTCACAGCCGGTCCATCTTCACGAGTCAATAGTGCAGTATAGATACTGCACATTGAAATCCAAATTTCAAGCCAATAGTGTTATTGGAATCCAGGAAAAGACCTTATTACCTTTTTTTTTTTTTTTGCTCTTACTGGTTTTTTAATCTTTGAGTTTGTCCTGTGTTGTGGTGATAATTGTGTTTTATAATCTGCTCAAATGACCTGTACAGCGCTTTGATTTTAGCTTTGGCTGACTGAAAGCGCTTTATAAATAAAGTTGAGTTGAGTTGAGTTGAGTTGAAAAATTCAAAGAATATGGATATTTTGATGACAAAAATTGATGTGAATGTAATAGCAAAAAAAAGCGAACGTGCCGAATATATTAAGAAAACTACAAAAGTGCTTCTATAAGAAATTCATGAAAAACACTCTGAGAGTAAGACAACATTTTTTGGCACAACATAACCTTAGAGTAGAGGTCTTCAAAGTTTTCCAGGCCAAGGACCACCAATTATATATATTGTATTAAATTGTGTTATATCAATCTGGTCCTATAGTCACTCTATTACAGATGGAGTAATG